AAATAGAAAAACATCATTGATTTGTTCTGCCAAAAACACTATATACATAAAATACTGAAAATGGAGCAGGTCTGCAACTAGTATCAAAGTTTCTTTGGTTGAAAAACACACAGAACATTAGCAATGTGCTTTAAATTAAGTACACATTTCAAAGGTTAACAGGACTATTCCTTAGGCAGAAGAACAAAGAGGAGCTGGTTAAAGAAAATTGGGTACACTACAGCTACTTAAAATATTGTATCCAGGCACAAATCATTTGGATGCCTTTGAGCTCAAAGCTAATTTGAATTATACAGAGGTGCTTTAAAGAACAAAAATACTAACCTGTGTTTTATCTATGGTCTTTTAGCTGAACTGAGATACTAATTAAAAACCTTGACTACTCTTCCTAATTTCTGATGTATTTTAACAGAGTAATAAAGCCATCTAAAAGCTCTGTCCTTCCTCACAAAGAGTGATTAGCATCTCTGAAATGCTTTGCCATCTAATGGTTTTACTATTAGCATATCTGTCATCTGCCTTGACTATATCTCTTGTAGGCAATGTAAAAAAATTGTGCAGTAGGACTTCTGAATGCAATATTGATGCATATGCCAACGTTCCTCTCAGTGACAATACTACAAGAGTTTACAATCCAGGCAATGCTGAAGTGTAACAATATCTCTCAAATAATACATTAAACAGATGTGTACCTGGTATTATAAATGTGACATAAAAATCTATTGGGTTGGTTGGCATGCATATTAAAAACCATTCAAGTAGGTCAAACTGTGGATAACTTAAAACTTTAAAGGCAGCAATTTTAATAAAACTGTCAGTACAATTTTCTTTGTAAAAACATTTGACACTGATTATGCTGCTTATATTGAAAGAGAAACACAAGGTCTATATCTTTAGATCTTTTATTGAACTGTGAGCACAGCATCAATAACTGCTTCTCAGCTGTAAATGAAAATTGATTCCAGATCTAACCCGTTGTTTTCTGTGTGTCTTTAATCCCAAATCACCCGCAATGAGACATAAGAATCAGCATTTTGTCTATGGGACAAAGCATGTGTCATATAGCCAGCTCCAAAGTGTCTACACTGAAGATACTGTGGGTTGTATTTACTCTTAGATGTCGGATAATTGTGGACCCTGTGAGCAAGGTCCAAAAAGTGGTGATAGGAGTTTGCAGCTGGGGTGGAGTGACTTGTTACTTGCCTCATGCTCTACTGCAGTGATCAATATGGTCCAAAGTTTTACAGATCTTAAGTCTGAAGACACCTGCAATGAACATCGCATTGGACCTCCTGCATGTCACAGCCCAAAGAAATTCACTTGAAAACTTTTACATCAAGCCCACAACTGCCAGAAGGCTAAAAAGAGAGGGGGAACCACAAGGTTTCCATGCAATTTGCAGAAGTTTGACATTAGTAGTTTGGATTTCCAGTCAGCTCTCACTTGCTGAAGCCTCTTAAGCCCTCTGGTGAAATTAAAGCATTTAGCCTCCTTTCAGGAATCTTTTTTCTTGGTGATATGTTGCTAGGCCATCATCATGCATGCCTTAACCAAAAAAGACCGAAGACTTTTATTAAGGAGAGTTCTCCAGATCATGTTTATAATTCTTAGGAACAATTTCTGGTTATTTAAAATCCTGTTGGAAAAGTGAATGTTAAAAGTGGGCAGCATGTTCAGTTACAGCCTTGCTAATACTATCCAAAGAATAAATACCTTCCACTGACTTCAACCTGGTAGTTCTCATCCTATCCAGAAATCAGGCTCAAATTCTTAATTATATGACTGACTGGAGCTATCGTGTCTTGGGTTTCTCCTCAGCAGTGGGGAGAAAAGGAAGGTGATGTTTAACACCTGAAAGAGCATGAGGTCCATGGAACCCTAAATAGATGCAACACAGATCAGAAATAAGTGTGCTCATTCATAGGAGTGAGAGAGTAAGACAGAAGAGCTTTGTTTTTTGCAGACAAGCTTCTAACAATCTTCCACTGTGACAAATGGACTACTGGTAGTCTCAGAAGAGAGGCTGATAGATCAAACTCTCTCCACATACTATAGACATTCACTAAAAGTTGAGATCAAGGTGCATTTATGGATCAGCGTCACTACTGCCCCTGCCGTGTAAAGATTGAAGAGTCCCCAGCAATTCTCAAAGGACGAAGCCTAGGGCTCCCTACCAACCACTGTTCTCAAAGAATTTTAATTTCCTTGAAATACAAGTAGAGATAAAGATAACAAACTTGATTTTTCACATACTGTGTTTTTATTAATAAAAATGAGTAAATGCTAGCTCTTGATTCACATTGGCTGCAAGTCTATAGCAAAAAAAAAAAAAAAATCAGAAATATTGTAAAGACAATGATTCCATTTCCTTATAGAAATGTTGCATAAACTGTTAGAATGGGTTTGAGCTGAGCATTTTAATCTTTTCTCTCCCTGTCAGAATGCACACATGGGTACGGCTGAATTACAATGATCATTTGACTGCAAAATCTTTGATAAAAAAAATAGTAATTAAATTTTATAACCTTGGGCTCCACAGTTTAATCTTCAGCATTGTAAAGTTCACATATTGTAATAGCCTTGACTGTCCCTCATGAACAAATATTTTATATACTTTTTAGAAAAGATATTTTGCAGTCAAAAACCATTGCAGTTACTTTCTTGATGTTTATGTGTCTGACCAGCAGGCCAGATAAACCTTTCTTTCCATTTACAATCCCCTCTCTTTAAAGAGATATGGCAGAAGCTGCTAAAGTGTGAAGGTACTGCCAGTGTAATGCTTGAGTGATGCAGCAGAGCCATGCTGCTCAGCTTTGCAAGGCCTTAGTCTGGGATGCAGTGTGTGTGACAAAAATCTCAAGGGCAGACACATAGTCATTCATTCAAGAAACCTAAAAAACTGCAAGATTCTTTCCTATAATGTGTATAATTTTGTCTATATTCTCTATTTCTAATGCAAATAAAAGAGATGCCACCATACATATGCAGTGTACATAGGAAAGGTGAAGGCTTCCTTTGAAGTGCAGGGCACTAAAGAAATATTTTCAGTGTGCTTCTTGTCCAGGTAGTTCATTTATTTTTTACACGACTAGAAGCATTCATGTTTGCAATCTCTAAAGATACAGACCATAATCTGTTTCTTAAGAAGATATTTGGGAGATTTTAGGAGATTTGAATCAGTTCTAATTACTTAGAGGGAGATGAAGCTCATACTGCCAAAAGGATAAACATTTTCTGTGTACTATAAAATTTTGAGAACCTACACAAACGGTCCTTATTGTGCTCTCATTTGTCTGCAGCTTACGCCACGTATGGTATTGCTGGAAAGTCACATGGAGTTGTGGTGCAATCTGAGGCTTCCTACAGCTCAGGCACATCACCATCACATAGGGACTTGGGCTGCAGCTCCTGAACTGGCAGCAATGTGACACTGTTCACGTGCATGATGCTGCCTTTGGGTAAGAGGCACGCATGTACCACAGGACAGTAGGGATGTTTTGAGAGCTATCAATACTCCATTGTGCAGTGTAGATATAACCACGTCTTTCCTGCTTGGGATTAACACCAGAGATGACACCTATTCAAGTCAGTGAGGGCTTTTTGTTTGATGTAAGCAAATGCTGGTCCAGGCATTTGTTTCTTCATTCAGCAATGATACATGATTTCAACTTAATAGTGTAAACTGTGTAAATTTGGAATAATTCCACTTAAGATACTAGAAAACTACCACTGTAGGAAAACAAAAGTAACTCCTACCTGACAACATATTTCCATTCTTATATTTTGGACATTTCAGTATCACAATGCCACTTTACAGGTCTATTAGGGCAAGTTTCCAATAGACCAGGAAACCTGCTGGTTTCTTAAGCCACCATGTTTGTACAACTGCACACGGTGCAAGTACAGGCTTTTCATCCTTTGGCTTCAGATGAGAGTGTAAGTCTAACTTTGTGCTAAGAACCACTGACCTGTATGACTAAGGGGTCAACTGATACCAGAAGGTAAACCTTTCCTGGTGTGACCCTAAAGCATGGATTAGGTAGGTTGAAGGAGAACATTTAGGTGCTTTAAAAATAAATAAGAAAGATCGACTTATAGTTAACATTTCCTAGGCTGAACAGATGATCTTATGCTGAATTATAGCATTATCTTCCTCTCTATTGCAGACATTTAAACATTTGAGCCTATTGCATATATAAAGTAACATGAAGGATGAATTTAACTCAAAGTCTCTATTTTTTTCTGGTAAGAATGTTGAGAATATGTATTTCACCAGCTTTATTTCCCAGCATTATCCATAAATATTTATAAAGTGGGAAGGATAGAGAATGACATGAGACAGTTTTCTGAAAATGATTCTTCATTAATGTCCCAAGTAGGTTCAGAGACTTTCAGTAGTGATTTACAGCTACACACTGAGGATTTTCTCTCTCACAAACGGGAATCACTGGATTACTGACTGTGAACTCCCAGCCCTTTACTCACTGACTGGAACAAAATTTAGGGACCCAATCTTCTTGGGTGCAACTGTACAAATGAACTGCACATTGAAAACCAACTCTGCAGTTCTGTTGGCGGTCTGATGTTGTCATTTTACACCACTCCCAAACAGGTCATCAACTTCAGCACTGAGTGTGAAACAAGAGGAGGCTGTACCACAGTTAGTTTGGTACAGTGCAGGGTAGAAGCTCAGAGCGCATTGGCTGTTCCTGGGTGATGCCATGCGTAATCTCTTATTCCAAGGCTAGTATGTCATGTTTTGATTTAGTTTAATTTGCTTCACAAAGTTAATTCAGCAAAACTGACAAAGTGCATATGTATTTAAGAATAAGTTTCCTCCCACAGAGGTTCTATGCACAAACAGGATTAAGCTGCTGGATTCATCAGCACCTCAAAATGCTTTTGATGCAAATATAGTAAACCAACATGCAATCACATTCAACCAATGAAACAACTGTGTCAGATTATACGGTCTATGCACTAGTATCAGATGTATTTACCTGTTCATTGTCATCTTCATCACTGCTGAGTTTCAGATCATCCTCAAGCATTCTGAAAAAAAAAAAAAAAAAGAGAGAATACAGAATTACATTTAATGAATTAACTTTATATACAATGGGCTGAACCTACACTTTAGCAAAGTCAGAGGAAAGACTCCCTTACAATTCAACAACAGCAAAATCAGACCTGTGATAAGTAAACTGATGAATACTCCGTGTTTGTATGTATTAGTCCTGTGTGATGCTAGGTAAGAACAAATGACTTTCAGACTCATCCATCATGAAGTTTGGAAGTCAGCTCCTCTTTAATATCTTCTTCTATTTGCACATTGTCTCATGGTGATTAGTACATATACACCCATGTGAATTTCTAAATCTGAAGGAAGAGTAATTCAGCTCTGAGATTGTTGAAAACTGAGAAAAAGTCCCCCATGTTTCATTCCTGATCTAAGGCATCACTGATCATCTTTAAGGTCGGTACCAATCCCCACCTTATCAAACTGAGAATGAAAAGTGGAGAATAGCAAGAAGAAGAGGAGCTTGTCTGAGGTCTGATGGGACCTCACAGTAGTTAGTATCTGAAGGCAGAGGAATGTTTTGCAATCTAGGAATATGCTGATTCATACCCCCATTTTTATTTATTTTTTTTCTAAATACAGGGAAATGTCACATGACTGCTCCCTGCCCTTGTTTAAAGTGGAAGAAAACTCTTAAAAGATGTGGCTATCCCAATGCCTCCTTCCTCTCCTTTGGTAGAAGAAAGAGTTGAATAATGCATATTACTGTATTAACACTCATATTACTTCCTTTTTTTTAATCCAAGGCTTGGATATGGCAAGACACATAGGATAAGAAACGATAGTATTTGCTGTTACACCTTTTCAGAAAAGGTCTCTTCTTTTGAGATCTGTCTACCTAGGGAGGCATAACTAGCAGCTACCAAATACACTCCCTTATAGCTTCCCATATATTCACGCTTTGGTGGCCCTCCTCAGAGCTGATACTTCTTTGGGTACACTTCTACCTCACACCCATCTTTTCACCTTGACAAATTCTCTTATGACAGGATGACGTATGAACAAATTGGCACATCTCACCCATATCTGCTGCAGTAGCCACTAAAACTGCCGAGCTTCCTTTCTCCCAGCTTCCTTTCTCCCAGCCTGAGCTTCTTTACCCAAGGCAGGAGGCTTGCAAATTGCAATTACTGTTTCCTTTCTGCCTTGATGGAGACTGAAGTCTATGATTTTTTTATTGTTAGCCTTTAAATAACTGTAGCAATCAATGGATGTTCTGTTAGGAAGGTTTTTTTTTGTTTTTGTTTTTTTTTTTTTTTTGTGTTTTTTTTTTTTTTTTGTGTGTGTTTTTTTTTTTTGTTGTTGTTGTTTTTTTTTTTGTTTGAAGACTACCAGTAAATTACGGAAGCCTCCTGGTATATGAAATTTTAAAGAGGGGACAGTAATCCCAGTGTGGAAATATCAGAAGGTTCAAAGCCCTGCTGCTGCTCTTAAACAGAGAAAGTGCAAGGAGATCTTTAAACCAGTTTGTAAGCCATCAGTCTTTCGGTGACCTCTGTTGTAGGGCAGCTCAGTGGTTACAAAGTATCTGGACACATAACTACTAGTCATTAACGTCTTGATAAATGGCAGAGGCCTCCCTGTAATATGTGAACCCATAAAAGTAAGACTGTAGCATGGATAAAGAATCTTCTAAAACTAAGAGTTTGTGGTGGGTTGACCTTGGCTGGGTGCCAGGTGCCCACCAAGCTGTTCTATCACTCCCCTCCTCGGCTAGACAAGTGAGAGAAAATACGATGAAAGACTCATGGGTTGAGATACTGAGAGAGAGAGATCAGTCAGCAGTTACTGTCACAGGCAAAACAGGCTCAACTTGGGGAAATCAATTTACTACTGATCAAATTAGGATAGGGTAATGAGAAATAAAACCAAATCTTAAAACACCTTCCCCCTCACCCCTTCCTTCTTTCAAGGCACAGCTTCACTCCCAATTTCTCTACCTTCTCCCCCTGCAGCGGCACGAGGGGACGGGGAATGGGGGTTGCAGCCAGCTCATCACCCACTGTCTCTGCCACTCCTTCCTTGTCAGGGAGGGGCTCCTCACATTCTTCCCCTGGTCCAAGGTGGGGTCCCTCCCATGGGAGACAGTCCATTAACTTCTCTGACATGGGCCCTTCCCCTGGGCTGCAGGTCTTCATGAACTGAGCCAGTGTGGGACCTTCACAGGGTCACAGGTCCTGCCAGCAAACCTGTTCCAGCACGAGCTCCTCTTTCCACGGGTCCACAGGTCCTGCCAGGAGCCTGCTCCAGTGCAGACTCCCCACGGGGTCACAGCCTGCTTCAGACACATCCACCTGCTCCGGCGTGGGGTCTTCCACGGGCTGCAGGTGGGTATCTGCTCCACCGTTAACCTCCATGGGTGCAGGGCACAGCTGCCTCACCATGGTCTTCACCACAGGCTGCAGGGAAACCTCTGCTCCATCACCTGGAGCACCTCCTCACCCTCCTTCACTGACCTTGTTGTCTGCGGAGGTGTTTCTCTCACATATTCTCATTCTTCTCTCCCAACTGCTGTTGTGCAGCAGTTTTTTCCCCTTCTTAAATATGTTATCACTGTTGCTGATGGACTTGCTGATGGGCAGTCCATCATGAAGCTGTCTGGCATTGGCTCTATCAGACACGGGGCACCTTCTGGCATCTTCTTACAGAAGCTACATCTGCAGGTCCCCCCGGCTACCAAAACCTTGTCATGTAAATCCAATACAGAATTTCTCAGGAAATATTAATCTTTAGAGGCCTGGACTTTGTTGATGAACAGGAACTTTTAATGTTGTTTATCTAGCAGACACATTCATTTGTTTCCCCAGTGTCATTACTTGCTGCGTGAGTCTCAATGTATCACTGAACCTTGATCTATCCACAGTCCCAAATTGTTATCTGCAAGTCTCATTAGACACCAGAAGGACAATACCCCCAGGAAAGCGAGACCATCTTTATACAGGACTATATAATTCTAACTCTTAACTCTAATTCAATCCTACACTCCCACTTTTAAACCTACATCTCACTTTAATGTGTAAATTATCCACTGCTTTAAAGCGGCACTGCTAGATAATGCACTCTATTATTATTTTTTAATGCAGATCTAAGAGGACATAATGCAAAGGATCTTTTCATGAACGAAGCCCAAAGGGTGGTGTTTTTTTTTTTCTTTCCAGCTATTGGCTTTTTTTTTCATGTTACATGTTAAATTCCTTTTTGACATATCTGGTAGAAATAAACCAAAAAGGACAAAGGAAATTCCATACTGGATAAATGGAAAGAACAAAGAAGAGAACATAAAAAAGATGAATGAATACACTTACTAAACTAACCAAACAGCCATCTGAAATGGCTGATTAATAACTTTCCTCATACAGCCTGTACTGAAGATACTTTCTAACAAGTACGGTAAGCGCAAGACATGTTTATTGAATATTGAAAAATATAAAATGGATATAAAACATGATTAGTAGGAAGGACAACTGTTAGAGTTGGTTTCAGATAAACTAAATTTGCAGGATTTATGAGTTCCCTTCAAGAGAGTAATGGATGTTTAGATGACTAGAGAGAAGAAAAAAATTGGATTTTGGTATTTCTTTAGCAGTTCCAAGCTTATCACTTGGAGTATATAATTCTTCTTAGCCTGTTCTGCTAAATGAAGAATATGTCATCCCATTCAGTTACAAAACTCAAAGGTTAAACAACTAAACCACGCAGCTTCTAAAATGCATCACACTCTCCTGGCAGATGGAATAATTAAAGAGAAACTGAGTATGGTATCAACAATAAATATATGGTAGCCAGAGAAGTGAGGGAATAAATTAAAAGTACACAGTATGTGCAAATGAAAGTAGAATGCTGAAGAGTTCAAATAACCTGCTCCCAGAGGATATTGGTTAGAAGAGGTAATATTTTACAGAAAGCAGAGGACTAGATGGTCTCCCACAATTTTAAAATGTGCTTAATATTCTGAAGACATGGGTCACAGTAGCTTGTACTGTTTAATGTTTCTATTAACTCTCATTTATAAGCAAGCAGCATCTGATCACACTCAAAGCCCAGTAAGGGCTTTTTAAGACTGCCAGCAACCTTAATCCAAGGTGACTATTTCACTATTTTATCTGGAGAGGTAACCCATTTCAGCTTCAAAGCCCTGAGACAGAAGAGCTCTGTATCTATAGCGCTCTCAGACACTGGATGGTTTGAATGTGAAATCAAGCCCTCTTGAGTGAGGGATCCCTGTAAATACATATGATCTATTCTGCTCTATGTAATTGTTAACCTCAGAAACACCCAGACTGGAGATTACAGAGTATATTTGTTACGAAGATCAGGCCAGCTATTAATAAAGGCCAATTTGGTGGATATGTTAAAGTTACAATGAATACTGTCAATGAGGGCAAATCAAAGAGAAAACTGCCTGCATCAGAAAGCTATCTCCAGAGGTGTTATGAATTCATTTTATTTCCTATTCTTCTCTGACCCAACTGACATTATTATTGAATATACATGTACTTGTTTGTCTTTTCATCCATAGCTAATGCAAAACACCACTTTAGGGAAAGAATGGGATTAAGTAGGATTTTTTATTTCATTATTAGAGCAATGCCATTTACTCTAACAGTTGAAGTTGTGTCAGCACATTTATTATAATCTACAATTTTCAGAGGTTTATAATTTGGAATGTGAAATTATTGCAAAGCAGAAACATCAGGACAAAGCAATACATTTATCTGTGGTGTAAGTAGGGGCAATCTCATTGACTGACTATAATACCCACTTCCTCCAGGGATGAATTGGCTCCCAAAGCAGATTGTTCCTACAAATTTAACTAGAGAAATGGCTGAATGAGGGCTTTAGTAGGATGAGTTCTGTAAAAGTCTCACGAGAAATAGTAACAACAGAATAGTATTTTTAGGAGCCTTCAACTTGTATTGGGCCTTAGAAGATTATGAGATGGACCAAAATAAAAATTAGCTATTTTTATAACAGT